TGTGTGTGTGTGTGTGTGTGTGTGTGTGTGTGTGTATGTATGTATGTATGTATGTATGTATGTATGTATATATATATATATATATATAAATAATAATAATGATCTGTTAGTGTCACTTCTTTGTTGTGTACCACAACTCTATATATAAAAGGGACAACAGCTCATCGGAGTTGAAGGACATATTACTGGAAGTGTCGGTAGTGTAAATGGGATTATGTTGCCATTACCCTCACTAGAAATAATGCAAAAATACCTGCGACAGAATCCAGAAAGACAAAAGTATTGGGCTGACCTATTGACAACTACCACTGTACACAGTCATCGTGCTCATGACTACGTCTCGCATCCTTTATTATAAAAGGACTTTAGTAAGATGGCGTGCTTCTACACAATACTGACTTACTGACAAAGACCCAGTTAACAAACCACTTCAATTTTACTGACTCATGTGATGAATTACACTGACTCCATGACCTTTTCTGGATTGTGTGCCGCTACACGAGTATATAATGGGCTATTAGGATTCCTTGTCACAAATGTACCTCTGTGTTTATAAGGGTTCACGTCTCACATACTCTGCATAACATCACCTGTTCATGTGAAGGTCTTCATCTGAAGAATTAACAGCAAGAATGAGCTGGATGGATACATCCAACCCGAGCCACCAGGCACGACTCAATCAGAGCAACAGGTGGGAGGGATGATAAGACGTCACTTGAGGATTCACATTATTGTTTTAACAAAGGGCCACATGACATAATGTCTGCGGACATAATGTTTGACGTGCCATCGAGCTTCTATACCGACAATGAATCCTAGAGAAACTGAAAGTGCAAATGCTGCCAAAGGTGGTTCAAATGACTCACTCAAGAGGTTGAATATAGTTACAAATACTGAATATGATTTCTATGAGTCACTTTGAATATGTTTGCAAATATTTCCATGAACCTTACTTTCTCCATGGAACGCTTTGTGTCAGTTGAGCCCATTATGTATTCAGGCGGCATCACATAATACAGAGGAAGCCAAGGGGGCCCGACGGCTTTCTGAAGGAACCCTTATTTTCAAAAAAGAACTCAATGTGTGAAAGTAATTTCAAGAATCCATCTTTATATAAACGTAAAACACTGAAACAAAGTGCCAATTTTCACTGTCAAGGACAAGATGACGTGCACAACTCAAATGCAGCTGACCCAGGGAGCTTTTCTGATGAAAGCTCATTATATCTGAGTGGACGAGGGCAACGGCTTTGTGGTCCGTTTGTATACAAAGGAATGATGAGCACTGTTTCGTTTTTAAACCAGTATGTGAGAGAGTGCAGGTTTTTATTCCAGCCACACAAATACCAGATAATTTCACTTATTAGCTCTCGCCTCTTTGATTTAAAGAGCATAATTATAGAAATCAGCTCCTGTTGTATGAAACTTAACCTTTTTGGCATTGGACCCGCAATGCAATTGTGTAACTTGAAGGGAAAGAATCAGACACTTTTCTGATGGTGTCAGCCATACAGAAAAGTGTAGTATTAGAACAATATAATGGTGCTTTTATCAACTTTCTGTTTTTCAGATTCACTTAAACTAGACGGAAGGCAAAGAGACATCGTAGAGTCACTACGTCATCGCTGAGCCAGTCAGAAACGTCATTTTTTTCTGACTGCATTTTGAGTAAATTAGCCTATTTCCTAGTTCATCTTGTTGAATACTAATGACATGCATAATATTGTTTTAAATCTGCTGGTCACACGTCAAAAAGCATGCATGTACCAATCCACGCACACGCACGGGGAGTTAAAAAGACAAGTGGTTGGCATACTTACTGTGTCATCACTTCGGTAGGGGTTGAGTTTGTTGTACACTGCTTCAATAACACTTCGTCTAAGGGGAAGAAAAAGTAAAAATATAAATTATAATAAATAATATCTAATATTAAACAGACACTGTCCGAAACAAAAACTTGCACAAAGCTCACTCACTTGCTTGCCAGCTCTCCTCCGGGAGGGAGGTTAGGGATGCTCTCAGATGCTAACGTTCGCATAACATGGACCAAATCCGGGACACCTTCATCCCCCTGCTTTTTAATAATCTCTGTTGGAAAACAAAATGATATTTGGATCAAGAAAATACAAAAGTGTTTCTTAAAAAAAAAAAGAAAAAAAAAAAAAAGATGGATATGTGCAATTATTATTATTCTCTGGATACACAACATCTGTAGTACATAGAGTACATGTATGTCAATCCTGGAAGAGCGACACCACCTCTGTTGCTCTTACTGAGGTTTTTCCCCACTGACAGGTTTTTTTTGGGCAGTTCTTCCCTCATCTGAATCTAGGGTCTGTAGAGGCTCCCTCACCTTGTGATAGAAATGCTCCGTAATGTAAAACTTAAAGGGAGTGGTAACAGTTTTTAGACCTATGGCCAACTGCTGTCCCCAGAGAAGACAATAATTAACCAGAAATGTTTTATAGACCACCTCTTTTCCTGGTTGTCAAGTCTACATTGAACAACACATGTTAAAATTAATCCCCAGATGAAATGGCCTCCCATTTGAAAATACATCTCATTCTTTCAAAAACACTTGGCATTAACATGTAATTGACTCTGCTTGATATTGTAAATGGCCGACTTAAGATCTGTGCTCAAAAAGTTAAATGTAATTGATTGTAGTGTATTGTAAACTGTAGACTCTCAGGCTTACTTGATGACAAATAAATGATACATTTCATTTAACAAAATGAGTGTCGGGGGTTCCTAGCTTCTTCTCAGCCGACACTTCCAGTGAATGTCAGGTAATGTATTCCTTAATAAAACAACCGGCCGAGAACTAAAAGCTATGCCAGTGGCCCTCTAACTGTAGAGACTGAATGTGAAGTCTTTAAGTTAGTGTTTTAAACTTCCAGCACGTCTATAATCTAAAGAACACTGTACACTTGTCTGTGTATTAAGGATAAACCTGAGATATTAAAAGTGCATTGGACATTTAAGAACCCCAAGTGGTTATGTATAATCAAGCAGATTACATTTATTATACTCAGTCTAGTGTTTGCTCCCTGAACTTAAGGGAATCAAAAGAAAACAACTGCTTTCAGACCAGACAGGCTTTTGGGTGTTTCCATGGTTCTAGACACAGCTGTGACAGATAACACATAACATCTTCCCATCATCCTAAATGTTAATAAGGCTAACATTTTAAAACATGATGTAAAAAAGACAAACAAAGAAAACTTGGAATTTACCCTGAATAAGGAAAAACACCAAAAGTAAAATGGATGTGATGTCAATATCCCAGGTTCTATTGTGGTCCACTAAACCCAAAATATGATTTTTCTCTCCTACCTTCTACTCTGCCCTCCAGATATTTATCCAGCTCCGCCTCCCGTTTCACTGCTTCTGGAGATACCTTTGGTGCCCCAGGAAAGCAGATTAACACAACACTCATATTGTCTCGGCTTCCCTGTGAAAAAATAAAGAACAAACACAGAGGTCATATAAATAAACCATAACAGACAAGTGTGGAACAAAATAGGTAGGTTTTGTGGACATGCCATACCTTGTACAAGCAGGTGTCAACAATTTCATTGCTGACTCTTTCAAGATCATCTGTCACCTCTAGCCTTGACCTGACAAAGTCACACAGTTCCTCATTGGCCATGACATCCCAGATGCCATCACAGGCTAGTATAATGAACTCATCTTCGCCCTCGCATCTCTCTATTGCATACACTTCGGGCTCCGGGGACACAAGCTGCTCTGTCGGACCTTTTCCATGCACACACTTGTAGTCGAAGTCTCCCAAGGCCCGAGACACAGCTAGAGACCCATTAACTCGCTGGATCATGACTGAGCCACCGGCATTCTGGATCCTTTCCTTCTCCAAAGGGTTGCTGGGTTTGTGATCCTGCGTGAAGAAGTGCACAGCTCCGCCCCGGCTGAGGATTCCCCGCGAGTCGCCACAGTTGATAAAGTAGGTATGGCTTGGAGCAATCATCACTCCCACTGCAGTGGAACCACTGCGGTCCACACCATGCTTTTTCTCGGAGATGGTTCGCATGTGTTCATCAATCTGCAGAAATCCCGTGCGGATCCCATTCTTCACGCTATCTACGGAGGGGTTCTCCTGCAAAGCACTCTGGAAGTCTGAGTTGCTGGTGATGTGCTCCAGCAGGTGCTCACAGCAGTACTTGGCCACCTGAGAGCCAGCATGCCCATCATAAACAGCAAAGAATGACCAGGGGTCGAGACCATGAGGCAGACCAATAACTGCTGTGTGTGCATCTTCCATCTCTACTCGCCAACCCTGCATGCTACTCAGCCCATACTTCAGGTCGTTGCCCTCACCACGGGAATTGTATTTTTCCATCTTTGGTTTGTCCAGAAATGCACCCATTGTGTCTCTCTTAACACCTGTAGCACAAGTGAAAAGAAAAGCATCTATTTACAAGATATGACAGAAATGTAGTGTTTACTAATGCAGCCAATAATTTAAGGACTTTGTGGCAATATTCAGTTTCTGATCAAGTACAATGGTATATTTTTATAGTAAATAAACAAAAAAATACATACTGGATATCTAGTGCTAAACGGAAAACACAATGTTTTTTTATCAATGGGATTAAAACAAATAGTACATATTCCATTCATATGTGGCACAAGATTAGCATATTGGAGCTGGGTTTAGGTCCTTTGCCCTTATCTAAAAATAGTAAAACCGTGTAAACATTTTGGCTACTTATTAGGAGCCCTGCTGATGTGTATCAGATTGAAACGCCCTTCAACCCCTGCCTGATCAAGCGTAACATTGAATGTAGTTAGTGTAACGCAATGCAAGTTATTTAAATTGTACTTTGAATAACATTACAACGCTAGGCACCATCTATCTGACCTTCGCAATGCCTAACACTTCACCATACTACCTAATCAGGTTAATATTAGTTAAAGCTATCGTTACATGCCTGCAGAGCGAACTCCAGCTAACCGACGGACCAGTTACTCGATAACCACCACAAAACAATGACTGGAGATCTGGCAAATCAAACATTAACGCTAACGTTGTGATACGCCTATTTATAGCATGGACCTGCTCAGCAAGATAGCCTTTGCTATTAGGTTAGATCAGCGGGAAATGTTAGCTCTGTACCATGTCCAAACATACAACACAGATAAACAAACAACATTGCCTAGTTGTGGGCCTTGACCCTTGTCCCAGACAGCTAACTTTGACAGGCCTCCCTCTGCCATGGTTTGCTAACATTGTCTGAAGGCAAGGAAAGCCTTCGGCCTTGCTAACGTATCATCGCTAGCATTCAATGCTAAAATAGCTAGGGTAGCTAAACTACACTTGCTGGTTTAAAAGTAAACACTTTATGACTTACCAAATATCCGAAATACCAGTTGACAGCAACGGAAACTGCGAAGGTTACAAGGACCGAACAGCCTCAGTTCACACCAGAGAGGGTACACCGACGAAACTAGGGGGTCTGCGACGGTTTAGCTAGGCTAGCTAGCAATGAGCAGTCGTCACTCGAGACTCATATAAATTGTGGAAGTGCGGAGGTCCCTCTTTGCGTGCGCCCGTGATGCATTACATTATCTCAGCTGGCGATCTTAAGTATATTTTCACAGATTTTCTTGGAAATTTATGGGCCGGAGATTTGTGTGGTCAAGCCAGGGGGAAGCTGAAACGTCCGTCCCAGCCTCTCCACTAGACAGCTTGACAGCTTGCTAGCTAACGTTAGCTTCTGAGGAGCACGGAGCGAGCCCCCAGGAACAGCGCTGCGCTGTGATGCGATTTTGGCCTAGTGGCTGCTCTGGGTAATTACAACTTCCGGGATCATCACGTGATGCACACTGGGCCATTTTTCCCATACACAAGCATTGGAAAAGGACCAGCTGTAAAATGGCGAATACATTTTCCTACATTTTTATGAACGTCACAATCCCCCCGAAAATGACTCTTACATTTTTAGAATTTTATCTATAGAGTCCAATAAAGTCTGGAAGAGCTACATGATTAAATTATTTAATCCCATTCGTGTATACGGGGAACCAACAAGAAGTCAGCCGACCATGGAAAGATGGTTTTATTATACACCATGGACTTAACTCGCACAGTGAGCAATTTAGAATAAATGGGGCGCAATCGTTGACTGTGGTCTGCAGTTATCAATGCATCTATGGCACAGTTCTTAAGAGAAAGGACCCGGATGTTGCAGGTTGCGTACTCGAAAAAATGACATCATCCCTGTAGAGTTGTGGCTGCTCAGGCTGGGACACAGGAGGCATGTAGCCAATGAAAAATAAGCTCCCAAATCTCTGATATTTAGCTTGAATTTGGATGGTTTTAAAGGACGCATGAATTCAAACGTATATTTGTCACATACATGTAATATGTGTATGACAGTATTGAGCAGTTGTATATGTTTTGTAATCTGGAAAAAGAAGGGTCCCCATAATAAGGTATTGTCTAGGAACCAATATTGATAAGCTGCCCTTGCTATTCAGGATTTTTTTTTGGGGCCACTGGTGGTCAAATTTAAGTAAATGAAATCCACATACACAGTCTTTAAATTAACCACTGTGCATAAGTTTTTAATTTTAGAATGTAAACTTTTTCTAGGTCACTAAATCCCCAGATTCCCAGTTAAAGTACAGAGGACATGTCCTTAGTGTGGTAGCTTCTAAAAACCAATGTCATGAATGAATGTTCTGAATTTGAAAAGGATTCTGTAAACCTATGCTGCATAAGCCAAATGCCTGCACCAATAGAGAAAAAAATAATGGCCTGTTTCAACAAATGCACAATACAGGCGTCTATATATACTTGATAATAGGAAACACTCTTGTCAACTGATATTGAATATGAGACAACCGGTACTTTATATATTTACTGTTTAATGTCCAGGTATTGGCCTTATACTTTCAAAATTCTGCTGTAGAACAATCTGTTACTCTCTCAATAGAGTGTCACGATCACTCTATTTAGCTTTTCCTGTTCATTCTCTGTTGACCAGTATTGCAATATAAGAGGACATGGACATTTTTTTTCCATACCTTTTTTGGTTACATGACGCCTTCTGTATTGCACTGCTGCACATTTTAACATATTTAATTATTTTTTATCTCTGTTCTGAAAGTGAATTGTGTTTTGTAACGGCAATCGCTTTTGGAGAACCAACCAACAAGTTTCTGTGTAACACTGGTTGAAGTTTATTATTGCAAAAAAGCTGACATTCACCTCAGTGAAAATAAAGGTGGCTTCTGGAACTCTAAGAGAGCAGGAAGAATGAAGAGTTAGAGGAAAAAAATATGGGGCTTCCTTCACACGATTCATTTCAGCCCAAAATTAACAAGCGCACATCTTTTATTCTGAAAATATTCAAAGGGAAGTGACGTCTGTATCCGTTTGCTGCAGTTTTGTTGTGACAGATTAAATTAAGTAGCCATACTGTTTAGGGTTAAACCACAAGTCTAACGTAATTCATTCATTTTCAACAAATGGACTGCTGCATTGCATCTGCACTGTGGTGTTTTATACCACTTTATTTACTTATTCACTTCCTGTGTTTTATTTTCGCGGATGCAGACTTCACTCTGCTTTGGGCAGGTCTGTTCGGACACCGGCCAGGTGAGTTAATGACACCTGACTTCACGTTTCTTATTGAGTCCCGTTTCTTATTCACAAACAAGGAAATGCATCCGTCTGATGATACGATGGGGACAGTCAGTGTCTATGTTTTATTCCCCGATAAACTCGAAGTCAATGAGGTTTAGTCGCACGAAATAAACGGTTAAACAATAACCAGCTAACGTTTCATCCATGATGCTCATCTGAGCTGTTCACAGGTCAAACTGCACACGTTATATGGAGTGAATCTGGGGATGATTTACACACGTTTTGCTATCAAGGGCCAGTGGTGGAATAGGTATTCAGATATTTGACTAGGAGTAGCAGTAAGTAATTCAAAGGCATTACAATATTTAATGACAAAAAAGTAAATTTCACTTTCCACCATTGTAAAGGACAAAACACAGGCACAAAAAAACTTATATACATTTTTGTTTTATGGAGCCCCATGACTGTTTTTTGTTAAATTATATGACCTTTGCTTCCAGGGAGTTATTATAGCAAAAATATTTTTTTTGTTGAAGGGAAAAACAGGGCTATCCTTGATTAAAAACAAATCGTAGTCGACTCACACGATTTTGTAGACTAAACAAATAGTTGATAGTTTCTCCACAAAGAATCACACAAAAGCATCACGTTAAAGCTTGTGTTAACCAGAGAAGTTTCTTCAAAATAAGTCAATCGGCATGAAAAAAAGCTAAATAAAATGACTCATAAACTAAAGAAATCGTGGGGGACTGAGATCAAAACGACGATTAATCCACTAAGAGGAGGCCCGGCTAGTAAAAAATATATATTTTAAATTTTTTGAAAATTGTTGTGAAGGTCCCTGGGGGAGACCAGAACCAGTTGTGGTGTAATTCACATTTTAAAAAAAATAAAAAATTTAAAAAAAAAAAGGAAAATGCGAGGGTCATGTTGACAAGGAGTAGTCTCAGCATAAGCCATGCAATGTTGACAGTTGTATTTTTTTGTTAACCAGAGAATAAACTGAAAGGGCTGGTGGTTTGGGTCACTGGAGGCTCCAGTGGTATTGGAGAGGAGCTGGCCTACCAGCTAGCAAAGTGTGGATCACGTCTCATCCTGTCTGCTCGACGTGAGGATGAGCTAAAGAGGGTCAAACGTTGCTGTTTAGGTGAGACAATAAAAAACAACTGTATAGTTTAGAGAAAAGAAAGCCTATTTCAAATTAATTTAGTCTTGCTCAGTTGTTACCAGATGAATAATTTCTGTAATTCTTTCCTCAAGAGTGCTCCGACCTTCAGGATGAAGATATTCGTGTTCTTCCACTTGATTTGTTGGAGAGGACATCGCATGAGGAAAAAGCAAAAGCCGCAATTCAGTACTTTGGACATGTAGGGCCGCTACAATTCCTTTTTTATAATACAATGTGGTTTCATCATTAGGTTAATTGCAATAAGAACATGTCACAAACTGTTATTCCCAGGTGGGAATGCAGAAGACCTTTAAAATGTGTAATAAAATATATATATATGTATATATTTTTTATTTAATCACAATATTTACGCTGTATTTAATCCATAAACTTGTCACTTTACTGTTCTCTTTTCACTGTGTACAGCTTAACATTGTACGTTAAAATGTATTCAAATTCAAATAATGCTGTCTTCCTATTCTCTGGTTGTGTCCAATTTTCCTTCCCAGATTGATGTCCTAATTAACAATGGGGGCCGAAGCCAGCGCTCTCTGTGCTTGGAGACCAGCATTGATGTGTATCAGGCCTTGATGGAGCTCAACTTCCTGGGTACGGTCTCCATCACCAAGCAGGTGCTGCCTCACATGACGCAGCGAGCCACAGGAAGCATTGTGACTGTCAGCAGCGTAGTCGGCCTCGCCGGGGCACCACTGGCAACAGGATACTCTGCCAGCAAACACGCTCTTCAGGTGAAGGGACCACAGCTACAATAGTCGCATAAGACTGCGTTTGTTTTCTCTGATTTCATTACTCCGGTGTCCTCAGACAGTTTTTACCAACACGTTGATTACTTAATTTATTTTTTCAGGAATGTTGATTTTTATCACGGAGGAGCAGGTGTTTATTTATTACTTCTATCTGTGAAATAAATACTTCTACATGTGAATAGCTGTTCGGTCCTGTGTACGTCCTGTTTGCTGATTGTTTCTTTTTTGTCTACAGGGTTTCTTTAATTCTCTTAGGACCGAGCTGACTGACTTTCCAAACATACTCATCAGCACGGTGTGTCCTGGGCCTGTGCAATCACAGATTGTCCAAAATGCCTTCACGGAGGAAGTGCACAAGGTATTTGTTATAGAGCTGTTGATTTTGAACATAACAATCCTGTATTTTACCTGTATGTGACATGACACTAGCTATTTCAGTAGTTTTCAGTCACCTGTTTTCCTTCCTTTACCGAAGCCCATGGCTGCAGCGGGTAACCAGGGGCACAAGATGCCAACGAGTCGCTGTGTGCGCTTAATGCTGGTGGGAATTGCCAACGGTGTCAAGGAAATGTGGATTGCACAGCAGCCCTTCCTCCTGTTCTACTACACCTGGCAGTATGCTCCCACATTTGCCTGGTTCACCACAAACATGTTGGGCAGAAAAAGGGTGCAGAATTTCAAAGCTGGTCTGGTAGGTGTATAATCTAATTTTAGGAAATCTATGTGTAGAAAGTCAATATGTTACATATTCAACCAACACATTGGCTAGAAATATCACAATGTCTGCGTCTGTCTAGTAAATATGTAACTGGAGCTAGCCACAGATTACTTTCGCTTAGGTAAAGACTGGAGCTAACGAGGCTCTGTCCAAAGGTAATAAGATAGGCCTACGAACACCTGTAAAGTTTTACTAAACAAGTATTTTGTCCAATCTGCTCAAAATTTGAAAACATCCCCTGTACTACTGAAAAACTAATTTCCCATATTTAAAGATCTATGTAAAGCTGACCGATAGATAGGCTCACTTTAGTCCGAATGCACCAGAAAGCGTTCACAAGGGATGAGACCAGTTTGTTGTTTCTGTATGTTTGACCTTGCTCCATTAGACCCAGGACCGGGGGATTTTCATTGTGTCAAAGGACTTAAAATACTTGAATAAAGCAGAACGTGGCAGACATTATGCAAAGCTGTGTCTTGACAGCTGGGGGGTGGGGGGGCTCAGCCCAACTGACCTTGCTTGAGTCTAATAAGAAGAAGACGGTGGCCAGGGTATGACAGTGGGAATGACTACTTCCCCGTGGTTCTGACTGACCAGTGTGCCTGTTGGAATCTGCTGGACAGTGACAGCTGAGGGCCATGAAGAAAGGTCATGTCCAACTGGCCAGACATTGGAGCGTCACATGCTTATACTTCAGTAAAAATGGACACAGTATTCCTAAACACTGGGGTTAGGGAATGTCAGTCGTGCACGAGACTAGGGTTGCAAAGGGAAGTTAAGTTGAGGAATTTTGGAAATGTTGCACAATTTCAATATAAAAATCCTACCTTTGCAAACAACTAAAAATGTAGATCAAATGTACAGTAGTCAAACAGTGCTAATTGCCAGCCCTTTCTTTTGCAGGATGCAGACACTGCATACTTCACTAAGTCCAAGACCTCCTGAAAGTCACATCCTCAAGAGGAAATGCATGAATTCCTGATGTTCAACCTGGAAAGTGATATGGGTCTTTCTGCAAAATGTGGGTGTCTTTGCCTTCATCTCGAAGAAAAACAGTGAAAGACACGACTGCTTTGAAAGCGCAGAGCTTGACAGGGTCTAATACAAATGGGTACATTTTTATTTCAAATGTTGTAAATCCTATATTTTACTGTTTTCTTTGTAACAAGCATCTACAGGTTATGCGAACTTCTCTTTAAAAGCCTACATTAAATGTTATATGGGAGTTGTATATTGGATGTAACAAAGCCCTAGCACTAACCTTTTGAATGCCTAATAAAATTGAGTTGGGAGCAATTTTCTGCCCTGGCAAGTTTGTTTAGTGAAACATAACAAAACAGCTTCTGCCAAGCTATTTTATTATAAGTATACACAGTTAAACATACAAAAATCAACAATATGTACATAAGAATATGGACAAATTCATTCTAAATTGTAAACAAGTGAATTGTAAACAAAACAATAGCACTAAACTACTTACACATACAGCAAGACTTACTCAAGGCACATCCTTGATATCTTAACAAAACATTAAAACTCTTGTCCCGTTTTTTGTGGACATAAAGGGGTCACCAAAAAAATTGCGAAATGTAAAAATTACGATAAAACTGGAGGTACGCAGCAGGTGTCGTCTAGATGGGAGGAGGGCAAATTTATCCACTTCTTTTTAAGCACAAACATTAACAAACAAACCCAAAAACGTGTGCTTTGGTGGAAACCCATCAGGGATTATTTTTTCTTTAATGTGCTGATCTAGGAGGTAGTCCACATTGTCAGTTAAAATCTGATATTTTGCAACTTGTACAAGAGTGCAGTTGTGATGCAACTGCTTCTTCCTCTGTAGTGCAGGAAATGAAGCACTAAAGAAGTCAAATGAATGTGAAAGCTAAGTAGGTTCCCAACGGACATCAGTTTTCTGAACTCAAGTGGTTTAAAAAGCAAATTGATTGAACGTTTCTCTTGACTTCGCTATAGCTTCCACATGGATATTATGATAACCATTGACTTTGGAAATGGACATTTTGCTGCGGTAGTACCGACTGAAAAACATCCTCCTACCTCTCCAGAGTATGTTCAGCAGAAAGGGCAGATGATGCCACAGGTCAGAGGCAGGGGAAGTGGAGGGGGGCTGAGGAGTAAATTGGGTATCCTAGAGGGGGATCAGCTGCCTGAACAGTTAGGTTCCTTAGCATGAAGGGGTGAGCCTGGATGCTGTAACGCTCCTCGTCATCATTGGTAGCATACAGGAGCTCCCAGGAAAGGTTTGCCCACTGGCCTCGTACTCCCTCTCCATTCAGACGACCCACTTGCACCAGCTGCTCCTGCAGGGACAGGACTCGCCCTGTGTAGGTACCCTGTGGACAAGGACAGTCAATGATGCAAATGAAATACACACATTTCACCGAGATTTCCTCTAAATTGCTATTTTAAATACCCTCCATTTTTTATTCCAATTACTGAATAAGAAAAAGCTGTAGTTAAGGTATCAACAGTGTGGCTTAGACAGGATGTAAACAAGTGTGATTACCATAGCGAGGTCATGTCCTAGAGAGAACAGGAAGGGTTTCTCCTGAAGGACACTGTCGTGCCAGCCTTTCTCTGTCACCAGGCCAATGTACCAATCCCTTTCATATTCCTCCAAGGTGCTGAACAACTCCTCAGGGGACTCCATGGGCCCTAGACTTGCTTGATCAAACAGCAGCTTGAAACTGAACCTGATGGCGAACATAGAGGCAGAATTCAATAAAATATTTTTTTCCCCCCGGACGTAAAAATAATTCTGAACCTGTTGCCAAAACCTAGAAACTCTAACTGCCAATTTTACCTGAAAGCCCGAAGTGCAAGTTGGTAAAGTTCTTTACTTGAGGAGAGCCAGTCGAGTCCTTCCGTCCATGGTATGTCTCCACAATAGAGTCTGTAGACGTAACTGGGACTGGTGAAGGCAGACTCTGCTCCCAGTGAGATGAGACATGAAAGTGCAACCTGTGCATGCAGCTCTTTCAAAGCGTCGTCCTCCTTCAGGGCTTTGGTCATGTCCTCGGAGGTCTCGCCCTGCACAGCATGCCCAAACCGCCCCAAGGTGAACCGAAACCAGTCCTCAGGAAACAAAGACCTGAGCTGCAGCAAGCGGGATGGCAGCAACGGTGCAGTCCTCCACGCTGTCGGGAGGTTGAACACCTCCGACTGGGGGCAGTTGAAGTTCAGCTGAGGGAGAGAGCCGGGACTCTCTCTGAAGACCTCTGAAATCCGGCCTTTATCCACTGCTGGCATCCCGATGCCCAAACCCAGAGGCTGCAGTGGCTGCAGGGCAGAGAGAGCCATGTTTTCAAAAAGGCTGTCCATCTCCACAGAGCCTGGCAGAGAGGCCCCTGTCTGCAGCGCTGCATGTCCAGGCTGCGCCTCTGCGGTCACTAATGCCACTGTCCGCCTGGCTGGTTGAGGTCCAAATAAGTCGTCCTCATCTGACCAATCACCAAAGGAAGTCAAACTGGAGCTGTCCTGCCTGAACCTGAGAGAAGACACATTGGATTCCACCATGACAGCCTCAGCTGGCGGGTTACAGGTGGTCTGAGCCAACTGGGAAGACTGGGACTTCCTGCCTCCAACCCCTGGCCCTTCTTCATTGCTCCATAGAAATCCTTTATGCTTCTGCACACAGCATCGGAGGAGCAACCAGACCAGTGCTTTCAGAAAGTCATCCTGAAGTTTCCTCAAGTTGTCATGAGAGTCGATGATGCCAGAGAGCACATTTCGGGCATCAGAGTAGACTCGCACTGCAAGGGCAGCACATGGGGTGAGGGCATTTCCCCAGTGCAGGTTAAAGCCCTGGGTGAAACCAAGCCGCTCGGGGCGCTCAAAAGCAGCCTCGAACACCTCATCCACCCTCCGTGCTTCCACTGTGTGGCAAGATGTCTCCTGCAGCTCCAGACCCTGTAACAAACGACATTGTACTATCATGTTGTAAATGACTGCAGTGATTCATAAAAGACAAAACTGAAGGATTCAGTACCTTAATGTTGACTGTACAGTAGCCATAGCCTCTCTCCAAGATCATTATCCAAACCATGCGGTCCTGAAAGCGCCCAAGAAAATGAGAGCCTGGGGCTAAAGAACCTACAGATGGGGGAGAAAATCATCAGCCATCCATGCATCCAACATGTAAAGAGATCATGTAACACACACACACACACACACACACACAAGAGTAATGGTGCACATTCCTTTCATTTTGCATCAGCTGTGCATCCCTCTGTTGACTCTATGGATGACATAGCTACTGGATGAGCTGCAGGGAGACATGTACCATCAGTTGTACAGGAAGTTGTTCATGATACTGTTTTAACTGCGTGACTGCACAGAGATCTAAATATTACATCTTTTCTTAGCCTTAGTTTTCCATTAGTCTCTAAAAGTTCCCTACTTTTATAGAAACGCTGGCAAAAGACAGACATTTATTTCGACGAAGATGAACAGAAATGGCAAGGTGATGGAGGCTTTTGTTTGAAGAGGACTAGCACTCGCTCAAGAATAATGTCAGGTCCCATGACGACATCTCAGAATAGTCCCAGTCGTACCTCATGATGGAAAGTGACAACCTGGGCAGACTCCTTCCCGCTCACTGCTCCACGGCCCCCAGTGTGAGCGAAGCAAGAGAACACTACAAACTGCCATCGCTAGACTGTGAGCATCCACCTAACAAGCGCTTATTCTGAATTATACATCACAGCTACAGCACCCCAAGCTCACAAAAAAAAAAAAACAAGATTGAGTGACGACATCACCTCAGCAGCTTTATTCTGTTTTGAAAAATCCATAAATGATGATTCTCTACTTGCACCGTTTCTCCTGATCGAGCACAGAACAAACTCCTAGCAGCAGCTCTGTTTGTCGTACGAGCATTATGCGGTTAATGGTGTGGAACGATTTGAATGTAATGAATACAGATCGGAGCTATTTTTTTTTTCCGGGTCACTTCACAGGAAGCTCAACCGGATCATGCAAGTTTGCATTACTGCGAGCAATTCCAAAGAGCTGCTCCCAACAACATTCCTCTTACTATTAAACCATACGAGGTGATGGTTCAACGCTCTGTGATCTGCATACTGTCCCTACTTCACCCACAGAAAGGTTTAGCCACTGCAATTATAGTTCAAGTTAGGGGGGGGTGTCGTAATATAACGGCAGTTATATTTAAAAATTAAATATTGATATCATGTTAATAATACACATATGATAAAATAATTAATAATCCACCGCCTCTTAAATTAGCTTTTGTACAGTTATGGTTACAGACTCACCTCCCGACACTCGTATATTGAGTGTAATTCATTTGTCAAAAAAGAGACAAACAATGTTAAAGATTGATTGATAGATTTTTTTTTTCTTCTAATTTTCGAAAAATAATTTAGGCCACGATAACCGTGCATTGATAATCTGATATTGTGACAGTTCCAGTACAAGTCAAAACACACTGTAGTAAAACTAATATTAACTTTAGAATATTGTAAAATACAAAGTATTAAAACTTTAATCTAATAAAAATGAATCCAACTGACAAGTTAACAAATTAAGAAAATATCAATTACAAATATTTTTATAATACAAATAAAATGTGTTATGTATTATTATTACCCCAAACATTTGAGAACTATTAACTGATGGGTAAAATATATATTTTTAATAATAAAAACAATGATTTGCAGCCATTATTATTGTATGAAGATCGAGTTCGTGAATTTAAAGTGTTTGTGCTCATGAAATGTGGTTCCAGTGACGTGAATTATTATTTCATTATTATCCATTCAAAACACCAGACCAGAGGCAGGTATGATTAAAGAAAACAAAAACGGTTTGGACTCAGGAAAAATGATCAAGCTCAACTATTTACACGGCAAAGAACACAGAAACGGTAAATGTAGAAAAAAAAAAAGAAAGATAATATTCAACAAAGTTACAATACAACTGTGCAAAAATTATAGAAAAATTTGTATTTCCCATTTCAATGAGGCAGATCAGACAAATACTTCAGCTGCTCTAGTCGGATGAAACCTAGAAAGTATTGCACAAACATTGACCGAACCGTCGATGGAGATTTTGGTTTAAATTCCCTGACATGTGATTCCATTGTAATATACTTGAATGCTCTCAATGAACATTATAATAGAATATTGCAAATATAGATTTGCAGACCATAAATTCTAATATAGTGAACAATATTAACTCGTAACATTTGAGAAATATCTTCTTTTTTTTTTGTTGAAAAGAAGACACTATAGCACGAAGATATAAAGGACGGACAACTAACCCAGTGACCCTCTTGCGAAGGCCGTCCTCAGAGCAGAGGCCAGACTTCCGCTCATCTGCTGGTAGAAGATTGAGTCCAGGCAGGGACAGGCGGTACCTACGGGGCCCGGCCAACTGCGCTGAGGCCTGGGGAACCCCACCAGGAAGATGGGCAGGGTGAAGAGGGGCAGCAGAGGGGCGGAGAGAAGGGCAGACAGGGTCACCACCGCCAGCAACAGTGGACATAGGGAGGCATTCAGAGCCAAGAGGGTTCCTGCCGACTGACGGCGCTGCTTCTTCTCTGTCCAAGATGTCACCAACACAGTCAGGGTGAACTTTAGCTTGGTGAGGAACTGGGTCAGTCTGTCAATCAGGAGGCCCACCTGGATTAGAAACACACATAACGAGCACAGATCTACTGAACCACCATCAGGTCTCATCAGCTGATGTGTAATATACTGTAGGTTTGAGATATTTGTGTGCTTCATTTACTTTATGTTTTTTTACTATTTTAATAACTGCTGACCAAACCAAAAGTTTGGAAAAATGTCACTGCAATATTATGAATATATACACTCAGCAGCACCTTTATTGGGTATACCTGTAAAATCCAATGCAAACAAATACAATAGCTCATTCTCAAATTCTACATTTGCAAGGATAATAATGGGCCGTTTTGAATGACACTGCCAGAAAGGTATTTTAGCCATATGTTTACTATTGAGGTGGTAGTTTGCTGAGGTGTTGAACTGGACTGTGTTATTAACGTTGGTATTTCCTTCACCTTGCGAGTGTGTGTGTGTGTGTCTTCAGGGCAAAATGTGGCCTGAAGACACCCACTTTGCCAGGTGTTTATTTTTCTGTCAGATTTTGTGATCATGATAGTGTTGCAACCATGCAAGATGCAGTCACAAAACTGTACAGATGTGTATGATCCGAGCAAGGCGGTCAAAGAGGCCAAAATAAGGGACAAAATGAATGTTGACCTCACCAGAAGAAGCTGAACTCCAGTGCCTAGGTTGTCCCAGCCTGGCAGCGTGTTGTTTCCAGCTGCAAGCCCTACCAAGACCACCACTACCATCTGCAGCAGAGCATCCTCTGAATTCTGCCAAACCTGCACAGCAACAAAATGCAACCACTGTGCTGAGCATAAAAAAGAAAATTGTGCAAAAGGTACCAAGAAGACATGTTTTTGATTCTCATACTTTTCAGTGATTTGTTTTCCTGGTTACATTAACAATCAGCTTGTAGTTACTTTAAAAATAAGGTATTTACTGTAGCATATATTTTTTGCATGTTCTGTTCATATTGCTACATAGATTCTGAGCAAGCTTGAGTGTGAGCATACCACTCGAAAGGCTCGTGTGAATCCCACACTGAGGGAAACCCTGTGGAGCAGATGCAGAGATTTGTCCATAGACAGGAAAGCAATCATTGCAAATGGAGACACTGTGAAGTGAAACACACAGTAATTGCAGGTCAAAAACATATTCAGATACAAAGCACTGTTTTTATCACAACTGAGATTGGACAACATCAG